GCCTAGTATATATACCTCTTGTAACCCTCGAAGAAGGGGATCGGAATTCACTCTCTCTAGACTCCCTTGTAAAAGTGACCGTGCATTCTCTATTTTAATATAATCCAGGCTACAGGTGTTCCACCTAAAGTCCTACCGGTCATTCTGAGTGTTTTTACTTCCTTTACTTTACTGAATCAAGCCAACTATTCTAGACCCGGTCTAGTATAGTTTGACCGGTCAAGTAATTTACACCATCATTTTTGGCGCCGACCGTGGGACCGTTAAGGTTTTTTCTTTTCTAGACACAAACCTACCCGCAAAAACACCACTCAAGATGTCTTCCAGCCAGCAAATCAACGCCACCCCTGCTCAGGTGCAAGCCACCACTGAAGGTACCAACATCCCCATGGCTGTTACCCTGCCAACCGTTTCTTCTCCGGTTTTGCCATTGGGGCTAAGCTCGGTTCCAACACCCAGCATGGTCAGCCCATTCACGGCTCCCGTCCCTTCCGCTGGACCGAGGGTCACTTTCCCACCAAGCATGACCCAGTTCATGAATGACCCAACCAACCTGCAGGCCATCCAGGGCTTTGGCTAGGTCATGGCTATGTGCCAACAGAATGGGGGGATGCCTTTCCTCCCTGGTATGTTCCCGTTCGCTCTTCCAGGCACGGGAACCATGCCCCTACAAGCTCCAATGGCGGTGTCTCCCTTTCAAACACCAGTGCCGCAACCATCACCTTTCCAGCCGCAGCTAGTCAGCGCTGTGGCCCCCATCAACTTGACTGGTGCGCTTAACGCCACAGGGCCATCGCGTCCGCCGCAAGGTACGAATCCGCTAATCACTCCGGATGGTTACTGCGTCTCGGTTGAAAGCGGAGACGACGAGTGGGACATTCCAAGGACCCACAAGAAAAAGAAGGGAAAAACCGTCCGACCCGCCACCTCCCGAAACTCCGCCTTCGAAAGGCTGGGGGATAGGGAGGAGGGCCAGAGAAAATCAGCCAAGCTGAGGCTAGGGCAGAGCGTGGCCCATGTCAGCGCGTTCGCCCGGCTAGGTGAGATGAGGGAGGCCGAGCCTGCACGCACCCAACGCTCCCGGTCAAACAGGCAGGAGCCAGCCAGGACGAGGGCCTCTCGCCAGGAAGAAGAAGCAGAAAGCCAGCCTAGGGTGCCGGTGGCTAATCGGTTAACCACCCCCAATGATCGCGTCCAACAGATGGAGGCAAAGTTGGAGAAGCTGGAGAAGAAGGTTGGGGAGAAGAATGACCGGGACAAACCCCTCGCGGGGTCCCCGTTCACTACAAGGGTCCATCTGACACCTTTCCCGCGAAAGGTTAAGATAGACGCCCCAAAGTTCACCGGTAAGGAGGACCCAGAAATCCACCTGGACTCCTTCAATCAGAGTGCAACCATGAACGGTTGCACAGATGAAGAAAAGTGCCTCCTTTTCTTCCAGACCTTGCGGAATCGAGCCACCGAGTGGTTCAACAAGCTTCGCCCGGGAAGCATTGACTCATTCAGCGACTTGGCCTCGAAGTTCAAGGCCAAGTTC